GCCACGCGCGCGATGCCGGCGGGATCCTCCTCGTTATTGTTGTTGTTGTTGTAGGAGGAGGAGGAGGGGATCTCTCCGTCTCCCTCTTGGCGCTCGAGGAGGGGGTGGGGGAAGAGGAGGAGGAGGCATGCCGGAGGCGGACGTGCTGGCCGCGGTGACCGCGGCGGAGGTGGTGTCCCCGCGATCCGGCTACTTCCGGCAGCGGAGCATAAACACCCCGGATCCGGACCGCAAGGCGTTCGACGTCGAGAACCCGCCGGGGGCCTCCGTGGGCGCCACCGGAGTCGGAGCAGGAGGGCTGGGGCTCCGGCCCAGCGAGTCCGTCGCCAAGCTGGAGTCGCTGGAGCGGGCGGAGCGCGCCGCCCTGGCGCCCGCGGTCGTGCTCAAGACGGGGTTCTACATCCTCGTCTGGTACACCTTCAGCACCTGCCTCACCCTGTGAGTGCTCTGCCCCCTCTCCTCTCCTCTGCTTCTGTTCCTCCCGCCTCTGGATCTCTCCTGTGGGGGAAAAAAATCAGTGGAGGTTTTGATCTGGTTGCCTCCTTGTTCTTGTTGGGTAGATACAATAAGACGCTGCTGGGGGACAAGCTGGGCAAGTTCCCGGCGCCGCTGCTGATGAACACTGTGCACTTCGCGCTGCAGGCCGCGCTCTCCAAGATCATCCTGCTCTTCCAGGCCAAGGGGATCGACACCGCCGTCGAGATGAGCTGGAAGGATTACTTCATGAGAGGTGCCCATCCTGAACCTGCTCCACCATTCATCTCTCGGTTTAGTTCCAATTGCTCTATGGCTCTGTCTCTGGTTGCTCATGCTTCTGGCCTTGCCTCTCTGCAGTCGTCCCAACCGCTCTGGGAACCGCGCTCGACATAAACCTGAGCAACGCGTCTCTGGTGTTCATCACGGTCACGTTCGCCACTATGGTCTGTCATCCGCAAAAGTGATTTACTCCACTTACAGTACCGATTGCATTGCATTCTGAATCGAGTTCAGCTAACTTGATTTCTGAAATTTGACCTTTTGCAGTGTAAATCGGCGTCGCCAATATTCCTTTTGCTATTCGCTTTTGCATTCCGGTGAGTGTTATAAACTTGTAATTGGATAGCTGCTGTACCATGGCTTTCTCATGCTGCGGTTTTAGCTGGGATGCTCATTCTGGTTCCATTGATTATTGTCTGTTCAGCTTGATAGTTAGTTGTGGAGTTGATTTACCCATATTAGCAGAGCAGGGTATGCATTTTTACTAATTCACATTAACTAGCAACATGACTTTACTCTATGTTATTATTCCTACTTTTGAAGATGATAATTTGAAGAACCCAATGCTGCAACTGATCTATTTTATGGGTGGGTGGCAGTACAAAGGTATTGCTAGACCGTTCATGCATGGCCAAAACTGTGTCGATCAAATGTAAAGCATTAAAAAAGCTTGTCTCTAGACAATAGACGGATTACTAATTTGGATGGTGAATAATCATGGCCGCACCACTTGATTCTATAACATCCATTTATTTTTCTTATGCAATTGCAACCCAGAGCCTAGAGGGCTAACATCTACAAACTGAGTTTGATTTTATATGGCTCTAAAATGTGCCTTCTGGTTTACCAGGTTGGAGAGCCCCAGCATCAAGCTTCTAGGAATCATAGTTGTCATTTCCATTGGGGTTCTGTTGACAGGTATGTAGCCTCAGCGTGTTTAAATGGACAGAGGTTTATTATGGTAGCTGCTGAGCAAATGGTTTCTTCAGTATCAGCCAGCTTATTACTAAGATTGCATTATTTATATTTTTGTGGTTGTCCATCTCTGTAATTATTACAATTTGGTTTATAGCCACATCATGTATAGTAGGGTTTCCATTATTTTCCAGTGGCCAAGTACACTATTTTCAAGTCATTCGAAATTCACCTAACTGTGCAATATCCCAACATATAAAAAACAACACACTACTCGTAAAAATAGTTGATAAGCCAGTACATGTTTCCAATACTAGCAATTGATGGAGAACTGGGATGTTCTGAAAATTAGTCTCACCACTGGTGATCATTTTATTTTATCTTAACACTTGGACAACCAAGTTGTTTTGGGATATTATGCATATCGGAGCGCTTAGCACAGTTATTTTAGCGACTTGATTCTCTTGCCAGGTGGAAAGTATTGTTCTTCTAGGCAGTTTTAATCCTGTACTGAGCTCAAGCTGCTGCAGAAAGGATCTGGGGTTGTTGTATTTTTTCGAGCAACCATCTGTGGATGTATATATTCATTCCAGTTTTGTAGTTGAATGCTTTTCTTTTCTAAGTCACCTCAATTATTGTCCTCCAGTTTGTAATCATTTTTGTATGCTTAAAGAATGCATCTTGGGGACTTGCCTTTTGTGATTTTACAATATGATTTTCATCAGTTGCCAGGGAAACTGCGTTTGACTTCTGGGGCTTCATTTTTGTGACGCTTGCTGCTGTTATGTCAGGATTCCGCTGGTCCATGACACAGATTCTATTGCAAGTACGTGCAACTGTAATGACTAATGTTATTCAAATGCCTTGAGAATTATCACCACCCTCGCATCTTTCCTTATTTCCTTTTTCTTGTACACTTCCTGTGGCTAACGGTTTGTTTTACTTGTGTGCATGTGGATATTGATATTTCAAGAAAGATAGTTACGGTATGTTGCTTCACATGCGCGCTTCAATGCCTTTTTTTTATCGCACTTCAGTACTTCTAATGCCCAATAGTTTGAATGCATCTTTTATGCGTATCAATGAAACTGCCTATTTAATTGAATTAAGGCATTTGCTCTGGGTTTAGCTCTTTTCTTCAGCTAATAGGCTTGGTTCTTGCAATTTTATTTTATCTCCTGAATGAGAAGATAGACTTGAAAAGTTAGGGCCTTGAAGGCGTTGAATGAGAGCTCGATCCTCTCTTTTCTAGAGCCGTTGCACATTTCTAACCATGGAGATAATCAAATGGTCTAGCAGTTAAAAAACTTAATTACTTGATATAATTGAAACTTAAATTTGGTATCGAATCTGAAGTTCGGGCTTTATGATTTTGATCTTAAGCTTCTGAAGTATCAGGAACAGGGCTCCTATTTCATAGGTATTAGCTATAGTTTCTGCTCGATCCATCCCGTTTTTCCTAGAAGCTCTAGCTCCAGCTTTTCATCTAGAGTCCACAGCTTGGATAAATGCGGGGCAAATATTATTTTAGTAAACTTAGCAATCCTGATTTGGCTACTAGGAGTTCATGAGCTCAATAACCCATCTTCCTTTGGCAGGCCTGAAAGATCCAATCACCCTGATGAGTCATGTTACTCCAGTGATGGCCATAGCCACCATGGTACTATCTCTCCTGTTGGATCCTTGGAGTGATTTTCGAAAGAACACGTATTTCGATAACCCATGGCACGTCATGCGCAGTTTCTTACTTATGCTAATCGGAGGGAGCTTGGCTTTTTTCATGGTAACGATTGTTTATTTGATTAAAAATGAACTTGTCAGAAATATCATAGATGATTGACTGTCATGATATATTATATCAACTGCAGGTGTTAACGGAGTATATACTTGTTTCAGCAACAAGTGCTATAACTGTGACGATAGCTGGGGTAGTAAAGGAAGCTGTAACCATCTTGGTAATATTTGAAATCTATTCTTTCCTAAAAGAGCAATTGTTTTATATTTACTTGCATCTGCCATCTGCGTCGGAATGTAAATCCGCAAATACCTACCAAAGTAGTATCTTTCTATATTAGCTGATATTTATCAGAACACTGTTATTAACATGAATGCCACCTCATTTGAAATAAAATCAGGACGAGGTAAGTGATTAGGCAATTGATAACTCATGAACAGGAAGAACTAAATTCTGAACCACAAAATGGAACTGATCTGTTGTTTGTTCAGAAGTTAAGATTAAGAAGTATCAAAGGAAGAAATTCCCGTCAGTAGCTAATTCATTTTTGGCATACACTAATAGAGGCGAGCTATCAGTAGTCATATGCAAAAGTGCAACAGCATTTCTTGTGTATGCTTCTCTGCTAGAGTGTTGGTTCTAGCATGAAGATGGATACTGCACTTGATATCATAGCCCAAAAGGGAATATTGTTCTTAGATTCCATATGATCCAGAACCAAAATCTTGTAGTAGTTGATGTCCCTTATGAAGGAAATTTTACCTTGTTCTTTCAGGTTGCAGTATTTTATTTCCATGATGAATTTACTTGGTTGAAAGGGGTTGGTCTTACCACTACTATGGTTGGTGTTAGCTTATTCAACTGGTACAAGTAAGTGACTCTTGATATTAAAGACTTTGTTACAAGATTACATATTCTTCTTGGGGATGCAACTGAGCTGAGGCAAGCTGAACCATTGCCATTTGGTCAATGTTACAATACCTATTTATCTCAGAAGTAAATAAGTATTGTTAGATGGCTCTTATGATGTTTGTTTAGGATTAATCATGTTATCATTCAGAACAGCCTAGCTCGGAGACATGAATACTGAAATAATTCGGACCCAAAATTCATTTGTTTTGACTTGTTGAATAGTATTGATCCCACATTTTTGTTCTGCCTAGACCATCATCTTCTACAGTGCTGCCTAACAGTTTATTTAACGAATCATACTGTGCTCCACAAATTGTCAGTCTTTGACACAACATAAATACTTGTGTGCACACATGCATGGATATAGATATTTACGAAAACATTTCCCATTGTTTAGTCCATGCCAATAGTTGAGGTTCAAATTCACATTCATCTTCAAAATGATTACTTTCTTGATATTGCGGTGGATGGACCAAGGATATGTGGCATACTACATTGTTCATCTTTTCTTGGTTTCATAATATTTATGGCTGATGACAGGTATGAGAAATTCAAGAAGGGTCAGATAAATGAGGATGGAGTTGATTCACCTTCATTTAGTGGGGATGCCAAATACATTATTCTAGATGACCTGGAAGATGAGGATGGGTTTCTGGATGAAGATACATAATTTTGGAATGTGGCAACATTTTAACTGCCACTTGGTAAGGTTCCCTTGCATATATCTTATAAAACAAGAACTACTTGCATTATTGAGCAGACTTAGGCACACAGATGGCATCCGTGTTTATAAGCCACTGAAGTGAGTAGTCCTTTTTGTCTCATCAGTGTCCAAGTAACAGTAATTATGTAAACATAATGACTATTCCATAGATTCTTTTTTGTACTAGTCATCAATGCATAAACTGTTCAACCTCCTACTTTTGCAAGTCTTGAAAGGATGAAACTGAAAGGTGGAAGAGGGGAAGGGGGACTTTTTTTGGCATTTAAGACCCTGTTCAGAACCTCTCAAATCTCAAAACTCCGCTCCGCGCTGTAGAGGAAACGAGGAGCTCCGGTTTGAGCCACTACCTGAAATTGTGCTATCGTTCCTTCCGCTCCGGGAGCCACAGTTGTGGAGCAAAGAGGATCTGAACAGGTCCTAAAATGCCCATATTATGATGTAGTCTGTGCTAGTAACTAAATCATGAGTGTCAACAGCAAGGAGAAGATGAATGTCAGAGCATGAAAAATAGACCCGCTTCTGTGTTGTATGATGAAGTTTTACGAAGAAAAGTTTTGATCAAATACTCGGACTTGCAGAAGAATCTGACAGTCATTTCTGTGTCAAGAATTGCTGCAGCTAGGCTTTTAATTTGACTTCAGTATCATTCCTGACATATCGCAATAATGTTTGTTAAGATTATTCAGCTCTTGCTCTTGCACTTCGCATTTTTGTGCCGTTCCCGTAACAAATGCACTGACGACTTAATTGATCTGATTTTGGCAGGATTGTTGATGCCTTTAGACCATTGATGGCTGCCTGTTGAAATAATACTCATGGAGGTTTTCTACAGAGACATACGGACAAACACAAGCAATCTGTGTGAGCTTAATCCATCTCACATTGAGGTTGAATGCTTGATTGACTGAACGGCCACCTGGATTGCAGTATATCATACTATGCGCTAACTTCACTGGAACATTTTGAGAGGATCGGCAGGTGGTACAAATCGGCCTGCTTGTTCATAATGGAAGTTACTTAAAACCGACTGATATTAGCTTGTTTTTCCTTTCTCTTCGTGTGAGCGCAAACGTGCACATATTCGTTATAAAATCTCCACATTTTTGGTGCCTAGGCATATTCATCCGCTGTGTAGATCAGACTGTAAGAGTGACCACACATACCCCACATGTGCTGCTCCCTTGAAAGCTTAGGGACAGCCTCTGATTATTTGTAATCTGTAAAACTGTGAGTGAAAAAGGATTGTTCTTCTCTACTGTATCTTGCACCCCTGCAGTTTTTGCTTTAAGCCTTTAACACTAGTATTCCATAGCTCTTGTTGTCTTGTTGATGGAAGTTAAAGGAGAACTGTTGTTGATCGAAGTTAAAGGAGAAGTGCATAGAGACAGACCGTCCCTGTCGAAATTGTATGCTCGAAACCATACCAAAACTTGTAAACCTACCAGATCGCTTGGCCCTTCATTCAATGGAATCTTGGTGGTGCGTTTAGAGAGATGAGATGAGTTGTTGTAATTAAGCATCTTCCTATACGGTATGAATTAACAATTAAACCCGTTCATTTGTCAATTGAGGACAAGTATTTGTATATTATTGAAAGAATTGGTCAGTACATATCCACGAATCAATGTGTTACGGTGGGGGGCGACGATGGAGGGAGGGGTGCTTTTCTTTTCTATCGCACCAACAATTCTTATGGAGTACAATCAGTTTCAAAAAAGGAAAATAATTCTTACACAATCGGGAGGTCCCACGTCGCCCGCACCACCCCTCGCCGGCAGTCGTCCCGCGCCTGCGCCACAGCCCACCGCCACGCCACCTCGCTAAACTTTGAGTCGCACCATATTAACCATTGGATGAACTTAATATCACACCTAAAACTATTATTACAATATACCATAAAGTTCCATTATTAGTGATCTTATTTTCAGCTGAGGCATGCATACATTGTCAACTTATTACTTGGAAGGCACATTTCATATGCTAAGACCCGATAAGGAATCATGCCAATGTCTCTACTTCGACCGGGACATGACTGGGCCGGGGGCTCAGATCAGCAAGTTGGGTCGCGCCTTGTTACATCTCTAATAATACAAGATTAATTTATATAGTAATAACATACTGTACTTAAAAAATTAGGGGCCCCAAGATTTTGGCATCCATCATACTACACATGCACCGTACAATGAAGATAATCATGTGCATCTGATTTGGCGAATCAACTTGTGGTTGGATGGTTAGAGGGACTATGAGTTTCAAATCGTGGTGCTCGCATTTATTTTAGATTTATTTCAGGATTTTCGGTGATGCGCATTCAGTGAGAGGAGACGTTCCCGTCAACGATGATGTGCCTACGGTGACTTAGTAAATTTCAAGATGATATGCCGGCTCCGTCTTTGAAAGGTGTTCATAGGGTAGGGTGTGCGTGTGTGCGTTCATAGGGGTGAGTGTATGCGTGTGTATATGAGTGTTTGCGTCTGTACTGTGTTAAAAAAGGTCCATCTAATTTGGTGGGAGGCCCCGCAGAGAGGGGATTTACTGAGCGCTATTTAAGTGTGTCCTTGTACGTAATAACAGTTCCCTAAACGCACGCCCTGGACGTACACCTTCCTCCGTTAGGCTTCTTGCTCGATCGACTTTGTTTTTCATAGGCTCTTTCCTGGCGCGAATGCTTCCCTCCCGTTCTTGCAAAAATGGCGCATCTCAGCCACAAAATTGAGTATGGTGGGATCCGTGCTGCAAACTGGTGTCGTGCTTTGTGTCCGGGCATGAATTCAGAAGCGGTAGGGGGCACTGCAGCTGGGATTAATCGGCCTTACCAGAATCCACCGGTTGTGAACAATGGAGATGAAGAGGTAAGATGAACAAATTTCATAAAGTTTAAGCGATTTTTGCTTGTTTTTTCTCGAGAGTTGGGGTCGTTCTGATGGATGCTCGCTGTTGGATGCAAGATTTCTCTCGTTCTGAACACACAGTATGGGATTGTTGATAGAGATTTATGAATAATATGATGATACGTAGATAGAAGCATGATGTGTTGCCCTTTGATGCACTTCAAACGGCTGTTGGAAGGTTATATGTTACTGTCATGTAGTCTCATATATGTAATAGTGTGAAGCGTCAGGTTTGACGCAATGCTATTCTTCGTGCATCGTCTGCTGAATTCGCCTGCATAGTTCATGGGAGTACGTTGTTTATTTTTCCTAGAATCCCCCAAGATTTGTTGGATGCGATGGTTGACTAGGGATCGAAGCATTCATTCAAATTGTAGACTTCAGATTCAGATAACGTGGCGTAACAGAATTTCGTAGCATGTTCATGGATGCAAATGTCGATGCTAAATCTATTTTTCTTTGTAGGATGAAATCATGGATGACATTGAAGGTGACACCTATATGCCATTTGTTGATGATGCTGGCTGGTGAGATGGAACCGCGAAGTCACGTCCGTGGCCAGTGAGGTCGCGTCGCGGAGTGGGCGTCACTGGCTACTGGAGTTGCGATGCGATGGTGACGGAGCAGTGGATCTGGTGAGCGCGAGTTGGTCGCGAGGCGAGTGAGGTCGGAAGGAGAGCTCGGGCAGGGCCGGGGATTAATGCACGAATCAGTGGTGAGAGATTGGGGATGGGGATTGTGCGCGTGGTCTATGCTGCTCGTGTTTTTTCCCATTTTTCCTCAATACGAGACGAAATCTAGAGCGTCAACTTTCCAAAGAATCGACGGGCCTTGAGTGATATGGCGCTGGCGTCCCTTCAGACTACAGATATGAAGCGTTTACCATTAAAATATTTAGTATGCTCAAGAGAGTTCTACCAAGATATTTAACAATATCAAATATACATGAACATACACATACACACATAATATATACATATGCGCTATGCAATTCATGCAATGATAAAAAAAATTAATTTAACAATTTGTGCTATTTTGCAAAAAAAATGTATATAAGGTATTTGATTTCACTATTTTATTAAGATTACATATCTCAAAAGAAGATAGAACTAGCACACCACTTTTTTTAACAAAATACAAATAGAAACCAGCGTAATGCAATTGTAGTTTCAATACATAACATCTGTATACAAATAATGCAACAATTTACATCTATGATACCGTTATATTGTCAATTGTATTGATTATGTAATAGGAAAAGTAGACTCACTAAAAATTTGGTATAACATTGAAAAGTTATAAGAAATATAAAAGTTTTGTATAAATAATAGTATCATATTTAACATGTATACTTTATCATGTGTTCTAGTTCAACCAACATATATCTTGTAACAATTGATATCGCCTCTTCACGTTTGTAGAAACAAAATAAACATGGTCATTCTACATCACCAAAGTAACAAAAGAAAAAGAAATACCTAACATGTATATTGTAAATCAATTTATCTACCTAAAAGCAAATTTCATTTTCTTTTTTGTTGTAGAGATGAACATGAATTTCTTAATCGCCATGATTATAATCATAACATCAAAGAGCGATGATTTGTTCGCCTTTTTGAAAACAAGTTTATGTAAAGCATTACACGAGAAAGACATGTTATCCTTCTATAAAATGTAAGTAATATTATCACCATTTATAATAAAAGAATGTTACAACCTTACATAATCTTTCGGGAATGCAACTAAACTAAGGCAAGCTAAGCCATTAACATTCGGTCAAAATTACAATATGTGTTTTTATCTCAAAAGTAAATAAGTAATGTTAGATGGCTCTTATCGGACATGGATTTTGTGAGCTCGAGCTCACATGCGCTTTTTGCAATAGTAAAATCCAAAAATACTAAAAAAAACTTCTATTTTTTTGGCAACAAACATTGTTGTGTGTTTCGCATGCATGCCAAGTTTCACGATAGAGTGCCATTTGTGGAGGTCTGGGCAAAAATAACAAAACCTATGCTCCAAAAAGACAGTTTTTAAAGCATTTGGGAGCATCAA